CTCGGAAGTGGGGTCAAGCCCCCTCAGCCGGGGGGGTGCACAGGCTCATAAGCTCGGCAGCCCAGAGCGACAGTCGGAGGAGGAGGAGGAGGAAGAGGAGGAGGAGCAGGAGGAAGCGACGGTCGGCGGTGACCAGACCCCACCAGGGGCCCGTCTGCGCCGCCGTGCGAAGAAGGGCACCGGCTTCCGGCGCGCGCGGGCGCCCGCGCGCCAGCGCCCGGCGGAGGCAGGGGCCGCAGCGGGGCGCCCCCCGCGGCGGCCCCCCCCCAAAAAAGTGAGAGCCGCGGGGAATTGCCAACAGGTCGCGCGGGCCTCAGCGGTGGAGAAAGCACTGGAGAGCCACTGGGGGGCACCGAGGCGCGCCGGGTCGCACCCCTGGGGCCGAGCCCAGTGGCAAGCGGGCGGTCGGGCCCGACGAGGGGCGAGCCAGGCAGCCCGTGCTCGCTGCATTCGAGGGTGGGGCCGGTGCGCCCCGGCGTGCTGGTCGGCGCTGGTCGTGCTCGGCGTGTTGGCATTGGGCGGAAGGGGGGGGTCTGGCTCCGGCTCGGCTCGACTCGCGCCCCGTTCAGCCTAGAAGACTGGCCCCAGTCAAGGAGAGGTGCGGCATGCCACAGCGGTGCGGTGCCCCTCGCTCGCTCTCGGTACCAGAGGATCTTGAAACCACCTTCCAAAGCAGACCAAGCTTAAGGAATTTCGGCAACATCTCTCCAACTTCCGTCGCTGGACCTTTGCTTAGTGCGACAGTGTGCACCAGCGCGTCCCATGGGGGAGACCCCACCTGCCTGAAACAGGCGCCAAAAACAGCCAAGATCTGCTCCACGACGGGGGGGGATGTGAGGGCCCGCGCTGATCTGCAAAACAATGACTAAGAAAACGATCGCCATCCCACTCCCAGTGGGCCAATGCGGCTCGGAACTAGGGCGAAGCTCGCATCCCACCTCCGCTGTGCCAATGCAGCTCTTTGAAGTAAGACGATGCACGTATCCCACCCCCAAAAGGCTAATGCGGATCGTGGAAACACTGGGCAATGGACTTGGTAGGACTCGGGGCAGAACTCAAGGCGGTGGAGGTTCCACGCTTGCCGTCAGGGTCGAGCGGTCGCTCCTGGTCGCGCTGGTCACCAATTCGCGGCTATGGTGCTCAACCCTGTAGTGCAGCTCAACGTCGTGGCGCTCGGCCCTGTCGTACTGGATCCAGTCGTGCTGCTCAACGTCGTGGCGCTCGACTCCGTCGTGCTGCTCAGTGACGAGGTGTTGGTGCAAGACGTGCTGTTCAGAGACGTGGTGCTCGTTGGACTGCTCGTCTCACTCGTCGATCTGAGGCTACTGCTGCTGGATCCCGTCGTGCTGCTCAATGTCGTGGTGCTCGACCCCGTCGTGCTGCTCTCCTTCGTGGTGCTCACCTCGGTCGTACTGGATCCCGTCGTATTGCCGAACGTCATGGTGCTCGGCTCCGTGATGATGATCAGTGTCGAGGTGCTGGTCCCAGACGTGCTGGTCAAAGACGTGATGCTTGTTACAGTGCTCGTCTTACTCGCTGATGTGAGGCTGCTGGTACTGGAACCCGTCGTGCTGCTGAGCGTCGTGGAGCTCGACTCACTCGTGCTGGATCCAGTCGTGCTGCTCTACATCGTGGTGCTCGACTCCGTCGTGCTGTTCAGTGTCGAGGTGCTGGTGCCAGTCGTGCTGCTCAGAGACGTGGTGCTCGTTGCGCTGCTCGTCTCACTCGTCGATGTGAGGCTGCTGCTGCTGGATCCCGTGGTGCTGCTCAACGTCATTGTGCTGGACCCCATTGTGCTGCTCTCCTTCGTGGTGCTCGACTCCGTCGTGCTCGATCCCGTCGTGCTGTTCAACGTCGTGGTGCTCGACGGAGAGATGGAGAGAGGCGGAGAGGATGAGAGACCAAGGTAGGTGCGCTCACGTCACATTTGGCATCCGATCCGTACCTCCCATCCCTTCCCATTGCGCTGATTATTTGTATCCGCGGACGCGTGTCCTAGCCGACATGTAACTCAAAACAACTAGCGCGTTATGCGCAATCGGGGAAGTGAAGCTGCGTACCTATAAAGAGGCGGTGTCGGGTGAGCAGGAGGATGAGCAGGAGAAAAAGGAGGAAGAGAAGGATGTGGAAGGAGGTTGACGAGGACGAACAGCAGCAGCAGGAACTGGACTAGAAGAAGCGGGAGGAGCAGGAGAAGCAGGAGGACCAGGGGAAGGTGGAGGAGGGGAAATGAGGGCGACAACGATGAAAAAGGACTCGGATCTAGAGAAGTGGCCCGCGCTGGTGTGAGAGCGCCAGTCTGAACGACGGGAGCAAGGCGCCGATCCGAAAACGAGGCCCACGCTGCAGCGGGAACACCCTGCCCAATTATTTAAAAACAGCATAAGGATATCCCTGGCCCAATCCTGCGTAAAAAACAATACGCAGGGAGAGTCGGCGATCTTCTGGACGAAGTCGGGGGAGAGAGGAGAGTAGTATTCATAACGTCGGCGGTGCGCCAGGAAAGGAAGTGAGAGGGTGCGGGCCTTCTCAGAAAGCTCGGAACTCCCCCGGTCTTCTGAGAAGCTGTCTAAGCATTCCCCGAAGCTGCAGAAAACTGCTCTCAGAAGGCCCGGGGGCTTCTGAGAAGCCCCACCGCTGTCTGAGAGGGCCTCCTCCTTCTCACTTCCCCCCTCGCTCGCCGCCGAGAATGTGCGCAGCTACAGAAGGAGAGGGGGGGGGAAGCTGCACACGAGCGGGAGAGCGCAGGGCGACGGAGAGGGTGTGAGTCGGGGGTCAGAGCTCGTGCGCCCGCCTCGTGACAGAGGGCCCCCTCTCCTGTGCCCCCCCCCCAGCAGACGAGAAGGAGGGGGGAGAAGGGAGGAATGGGAGAGGGGGGGGATGAGGAGGAGGAGGAGGAGGGGATGATGAAGAGGGGGGGAGGAGGGGGGGGAGGATGGGGAGGAGGAGAAGGAGGGGGAGGAGGGGGAGGAGGATGGGGAGAAAGAGGAGGAGGAGGAGGAGGTGGACGAGGAGGAGGAGAAGGAGGAGGAGGAGAAGGTGGAGGG